CATGGAGATTCTTCCAACCTGCTGTCATGTATCCAGGCAGCAGTCCCTTTTGCTTTTGCACAAGGTGGGGTAGTCAGGAGTCACTACAATGGATGGCCATAAGGGACTCAAAGGGGCTGATAGCCAATTTGCCCCGGGGGTAAAATCCTGATTCTCAAAAAGGCCTGGGGAGCAGATCCACATTTTCCATAGATGTGAATTCAGTGTCTGGTTCACCTTGGCCTGACAACTGGGGATGATAGGCCACATGATACTTCCAATCTATATCCAGGAAGGTGGAAACCTCCTGAACTATTTTGGCAACAAAATGGGTTCCGTCATCTGAGCCAAACCCCTCCCAGGGATTCCCGTGCCTTGAAATTATCCCCTTTATCAGCAGTTTCACCACCTCCTTGGCCTGACCATTTTGGGTGGGGAAGGCCTCTGGCCACCCTGTCAAAGTGAGTACAAAGACCGAACAATATGGGGTTCAATTCTGTAACATGTACATGCCATCATGATCCCAGCAACCTGCCCTTTGGCTGTGTGCCCAGAGGGCCTTTCCGGGGACCTGTATTTGTATTACTGCAGCAACATACCTCACAGGCTGATGACACATCTTCAGCCAATAAACTTAATCCTTGTCCGGTTGCCCAGGGGTGAATAGAACCTAGCAAAATATTAGGACCTGCATGTGTGCACAGAAAGTGTCTCACTAATGATCCTGGTAACATAAGCCAGCCATCAGCTGAATAAAACCAATCCCTGTCTCCACGTGTCTTTTTTCTGTAAAATTTTACCCTTTTTGTATACCCTAGGGGGGTCAGAAATGGCATGGCCAAGACTGGGACCACAGCTAAAGCTTCATCCAGTATGGGGGCATTTTCAGCAGTGCTCCTTGCTGTTTCATCAACTAATCCTGGGATCTTCTTTTCATCTCCTTTTACATGCATCACCACAACTGACAGAAACAAAGGAGATAGAAGGAGGAATACAAAAGCTTACTGTTGAATGGACTGGGGGGGGGCAAACAGTGGGAATAGAGCGGAAGAAGAAGGTGGAGATAGAGTCGGGGACAGCAGATATAAAGAGGGAAAAGCAGTTACTGCCAACTTGGGAGTGGGTCTGTATGGAGGATCCCTGGACCCAAGCATGGGAGAGGTTGAGAGGGCCTAAGAAGGAGACAGACTAGAACAAGAAGGGAGATCCCGCCACATTCATCTTATTGGGAAGAAGCAGAAGTTAGAGAGTGGAGGAGAAAGCTGAGAGAAGAAAAGGAGAGAGTAGAGACAGAAAGGCAGGAGATGCCAGAGGGTGAACAAAATGAGGAAGAAGGGGTACCAGGAGGACCCTAGAAAACCCTCTCAACCATCAGATGTCACGTGTGGGTGGATGGACAGGATGACAAGACCGTTCCCTGCTGGAAGGTGAAGTGGGACAGACGGTGAACCCAAACCTATCAGTAGATTGGCCGGGTCTGTGGCTGTGGTGAAAGGAACCCCTTCCTGGACAAAGAATGAAATCCCCTTCCTGATCCGTTGTCAGAAGGAGAAAAATGGAACCACTTCATTGACACTGGTAATTTGTTGAGTACCCCAATAAATATCACAGCTCTTTCCAAACAGCAAAAATCTCCTGATTTCTTTGCACAAAGGAAGGAGACTAAAGTCGAACTCTCACAGCCAGAGATGAAACCTCTATGGGGCAGTAGCAGTTACTGGCTTTTTGCATGACATTTCGTATTAAGGTACTACCATCCACAAAAAATTCTGGGTGAGTCCTTCCAAATCGGATCAGCTAAAAAAATCAGTATTAGTCTGGAGAGAATCATGTAAAATAGGGTTGTTCCCTGCAAGAGGTGTTGGGAGGAGGGTGGCCGGATTAAGACACGTGGTGGTAACTAGGCGCATCTCTAGGCTTTCCAAAAGAAGTGATATTTACTTGGCCAACCATTCGAGAGCCAGAGCCCTCCCTTTCGCTCCAACACAGTTATCACCACTGCCGGAGTAGAGAGCAACTTCTGCTTGTTCTGAGTGAAAACCTTTGTCATGCTCGGGGTGTTTTCCAACCTCTTTCCCAGACCCTTCAACGCCTCATATTAGTACAGTGGTGCCCTGCATAGCGACGTTAATCCGTCCCAGGATTACCGTCGCTATCCGGAAACATCACTGAACGGAACAAAAAAACCCATAAGAACGCATTAAACCCTGTTTAATGCGTTCCTATCAGGCAAAAACTCACCGTTCAGTGAAGATCCTCCATAGGGGCGGCCATTTTCCCATGGATATTCTTCCTATCATGATTCAAGTGTCTTTGCCCCTTAGGGATCAGGAACCCCAAGTAGCTTCCCTCCGCCTTCATAACTTGCACTTTCTCCTTGGAGGCCTTGAATCCCTCGAAACCCAAGAAATTGAGGAGGTCAACTGTGGCTCTCAAATAAGTGTCTTGGTTATCTGCTATTAAAGGTCACCTAGGACCCATCAGTATAAAATTCAAGATTTGCCTCCAATTTCATCAATAAATTCCATTGTGAAAGACTAGCAGGGCAGTTCTCAATATGCAAAACACGGTGGTCTAGGGTTGAATCCTTAAACTTTGCAGGGGGCAAAATCGGGACTTGTGTAGTCCCTCCTGATGCATCTATTACCTTTTTCGTGGGTCCTCCCAAGTTCAATTTTATGCCCTCAGGAAGTTTGGTAAGAACTGAATGAGTCACCCCCATGTCTGCATCATCTTCCAAAACCAACTGTTGGGCGGGTGGGGTTCTGTCCTTTATTCTGGGGACATTCCCTTGCCCGAATTGATGAAAATTGGGCACTGATTACTGCCCAGACTGGGGCACTCTTCACTTTGTCTACCTCTACCTCTGCCCTGTCTTCCCCAGCCACTGAAGTGCCTAGGATCTTCATGCTCCCCTTTCAGGGCTGCTACTCTCTCTCTTCTCCTTTGCCCACTTTTTCAACTCTTCTTGAGACCGGTTGTTGAAAGCCACCATCACTAATTCTTGTATGGGCACATCCAAAACCCCATCCACCTTATTCAATTCCCGTTTTATGCCTTTGTACAAGTTCTGAATATACAAGTTTATAAAGGTCCTTGATGAATCCCCTTCTGGATCCATGCCCATATGTTATCTGCAAGTTTTAATCATTCTCTCCAAGTAATCAGCTGGATTCTCACCTGCTTTTTGGAAAACCTCAAAGACCTTATGATTCACCATCTGCTTTGGAAACACTGTTGGTTCGTCTGACCCTTATCCCATTCAGGATGAGCCTGGTGGAGTATATCTGACAGGGCAAGGGACTTCCACTTCTTAGTGGCATATTTCTTAGCAGCCTCACATACCACTGCCCTTTCAGCCTCTATTAATAAGGTTACATGTTCATTAAATGCATAACATTTCCCCAAGTGGGTTGATGTGATATGTTTAGCCCTGCAAGGAGTCCTGCCATTCTCTCGGGATCTGAGGAGTACGACGGCATATGTGTCTTCCAATTAAACAAGTCTACTGTAGGAAATGGGACATACACGTACGCCTTTCCCATTGACCCATTTGGGGCCATCACTGCTTGTTCTCTTAGCAGAAGTGTGCGATCAGGGCGCTCAACGACCTGTCCTTCCTCATCCTCACTAGAACCCGAAACCTCCCATCTCCTGTCCTTTCTCCTCATCACTGCTGGTAATACGGCTGGATTTGGATCCCTCTGCCCTCCATGCTTTTTGGTCGAAGTTACCCTTTCCTCCTCCTCTTCTGGTCTGGACTCTGCAATTCCTTTCTGTACTTTCTTCTTGTGGGGGGGGGGATGGAAGTAGGGAAATCCCAACACTATGTCAGAGGCTCAGCCTAGTGTTTTCTGCAAATGGTGCCATCCCCACCCCTTCACCGAGAGCTTAGTTTCTGAGACAAAAATTTGAGTACCTGCCTAGTGGTGTTGTACCTATGGGGCACAAAGTAGAACTGGTGATGCAGCTGGATTTGGATCCCTCTGCCCTCAGTTTTTGGTTGAAGTTACCCTTTCCTCCCCCCCTTCTGGTTGGGACTCTGCAATTCCTTTTTGCACTTTCTTCTAGTGGGGGGGATGGAGGCAAGGGAAATCCAAACACTATGTCAGAGGCTCAGCCTGGTGTTTTCTGCAATGGTGCCATCCCAAATTTGAGTACCTGCCTAGCCTATGGAATTTTCCATGGTGTTGTACCTATGGGGCACAAAGTAGAGGACCGCAGAAGCCTCTGTGCTGCAGGGTCAGAAGACCAGCAGTCGTAAGATCGAATCCACGGGATGGAGTGAGCTCCCCTCACTCTGTCCCAGCTCCTGCCAACCTAGCAGTTCAAAAGCATGCAAATGTGAGTAGATAAATAGGTACCACATCACTGGGATGGTAACAGCATGACAATGGAAACTTTCTTCGGACGAACACTGGCTCTAAAGCTTGGAAACAGGGATGAGCATCGCGCCCTAGACTTGGACACGACTGACTAAATGTCAACCTTTACCTTTACCTTCTCCTTTAAAAAGACCTAGGGTGGTTTACATCATTTAAAAAATTGTATTTAAAGCTAAGAACGATCAGCCTCTGGAGCCATTAAAAGCTGTCTGTGTGTCTTTTTTGATGTTGTTTTCTGGACCTGCTGAAGTTCGTGGACACTGTCCAGAGGCAGTCCCACATAGAGTGCAACACAGTTATCCTGCCGGGATGTGACTAAGGCATGTGTCCATGTGGCCAGATCGAACTTTGCCAGGAGGAAGCGCCGCTGGTGCCCTCTTTTTAAGGGTGGAAAGGCCCTCCTGGCCACTGCGAGAATCCTGGACATCTGGACTTCGAGACTCATCCAAGAGGAACCCCAGGCTTCACACCTGGGTTGTCATCAGGATCAAAAAAAGTCTCCTTAATTTTGGCCGAAAGGTTGAATAGATTTGCAACAGATTCTATCCACACAGATCACGAGGTCTTTCTGCAATTGAAAGGCTGATAAATCTTCTGTATAGAGTGGCTGCAAAGAGACCGAAAAGGGCAGCAACCTCACTTGATGCCTTTGACCTCCTGGAAAGGGTGAAGGTGGGAGAAACATTTATTAGGGTCTTCAATATATTCGCGAAGGCTTTCACAGCTGGGATCTAATGGTTGTTCTGGATTTTTCGGGCTCTTTGGTCATGTTCTGAAGGTTGTTCTTCCTAGCGTTTTGCCAGTCTCTGTGGCCGGCACTCCCAAGCCAACTACACCAGAGCACAGAGTGCTGTCCTCTGAAGATGCCGGCCACAGAGACTGGTGAAACGTTAGGAAGAACAACCTTCAGAACACAGCCAAAGAGCCCAAAAAACCCAGAACATTTATTAGGGTTTCTAGAAACCTAATAGGAAGGGGGATGATGCCACTATTGGGACTTATGGAATACCCATGGCAATTTGCATGCAGGAGAAGTAGATCTACTACTAAGGATGCTGTGTCCTTTGTACTCCCTACTGTATTGAGTCACTTACAACAACAGGGAACTTAGGCGAGGCTGTTGTTTGTGGATTATAGCTCTGCTTTTAATACCATTCTATCCAATAGGTTGTTTTTTTAAAAAATGATCAAAAAAACTAAAGAACTCATAATTGATTTTAGGAGGAAGAGAAATGTACATTTACCACTGTACATAAATGCCGAGGAAGCGGAGAGAGTTGGTAGTTTTAAATTTCTGGGCACTGATATCTCAGAGGACCTCTCATGGACTATAAATGCCAACATGCTAGTGAAGAAGGCACAGAAGAGGCCGTATTTCCTGAGAATGCTCGGGAAGTTAAAGTTATCTCACCATTTACTTCTGTCCTACTATCGTAGCACCACTGAGCGTCCTCCTAACCCAGTGGTCAGGGAACAAGGGTAAATTACCCCAAATAGGGTAAAAACGAAAATCCTGGGGGTAATGAGGATACGACCCTAACCCCATCCCTCCTCCTCCTCCTAAGCCTGGAGGGGGGTCCCCAGATGCCCAATGGCCCCCTTCCCAACCCTTCTCTGGCCCGGCTGCAACCAAGACATGGCGGATGGTGGCCGGCGACAGGCCCCAGTTGGTGGCATATGACAGCCAAGGCGGTGGTGGCGGGGCCGGCAATGGTGGAGGGTGTCATGAATTTGATTATGAAAATAGGGTGGTGGCGGGGCCGGAAATGGTGGAAGGCAAGGTGGGGACGAATGGCCGGAGCGCCCCAGCCATGAAGAACCTCTCCTCCCAGTGCCTGGAGAGGTGGGTTGCGGCGGAGAGGGGTGGCCGCAGTCACAACAGCAGCCTGGGCCAGGGTTAGCCTCCCG